ATACTTAATTGTTTTAAAAACTTCATAAGTTTTAGCCGAGATACTTAATTGTTTTAAAAACTTTATAAGTTTTAGCCGAGATACTTAATTGTTTTAAAAACTTCATAAGTTTTAGCCGAGATACTTAATTGTTTTAAAAACTTCATAAGTTTTAGCCGAGATACTTAATTGTTTTAAAAACTTCATAAGTTTTAGCCGAGATACTTAATTGTTTTAAAAACTTCATAAGTTTTAGCCGAGATACTTAATTGTTTTAAAAACTTCATACATTTTAGCCGAGATACTTAATTGTTTTAAAAACTTCATAAGTTTTAGCCGAGATACTTAATTGTTTTAAAAACTTCATAAGTTTTAGCCGAGATACTTAATTGTTTTAAAAACTTCATAAGTTTTAGCCGAGATACTTAATTGTTTTAAAAACTTCATAAATTTTAGCCGAGATACTTAATTGTTTTAAAAACTTCATAAGTTTTAGCCGAGATACTTAATTGTTTTAAAAACTTCATAAGTTTTAGCCGAGATACTTAATTGTTTTAAAAACTTCATAAGTTTTAGCCGAGATACTTAATTGTTTTAAAAACTTCATAAGTTTTAGCCGAGATACTTAATTGTTTTAAAAACTTCATAAGTTTTAGCCGAGATACTTAATTGTTTTAAAAACTTCATAAGTTTTAGCCGAGATACTTAATTGTTTTAAAAACTTCATAAGTTTTAGCCGAGATACTTAATTGTTTTAAAAACTTCATAAGTTTTAGCCGAGATACTTAATTGTTTTAAAAACTTCATAAGTTTTAGCCGAGATACTTAATTGTTTTAAAAACTTCATAAGTTTTAGCCGAGATACTTAATTGTTTTAAAAACTTCATAAGTTTTAGCCGAGATACTTAATTGTTTTAAAAACTTCATAAGTTTTAGCCGAGATACTTAATTGTTTTAAAAACTTCATAAGTTTTAGCCGAGATGCTTAATTGTTTTAAAAACTTCATAAGTTTTAGCCGAGATACTTAATTGTTTTAAAAACTTCATAAGTTTTAGCCGAGATACTTAATTGTTTTAAAAACTTCATAAGTTTTAGCCGAGATACTTAATTGTTTTAAAAACTTCATAAGTTTTAGCCGAGATACTTAATTGTTTTAAAAACTTCATAAGTTTTAGCCGAGATACTTAATTGTTTTAAAAACTTCATAAGTTTTAGCCGAGATACTTAATTGTTTTAAAAACTTCATAAGTTTTAGCCGAGATACTTAATTGTTTTAAAAACTTCATAAGTTTTAGCCGAGATACTTAATTGTTTTAAAAATTTCATAAGTTTTAGCCGAGTTACTTAATTGTTTTAAAAACTTCTTAAGTTTTAGCCGAGATACTTAATTGTTTTAAAAACTTCATAAGTTTTAGCCGAGATACTTAATTGTTTTAAAAACTTCATAAGTTTTAGCCGAGATACTTAATTGTTTTAAAAACTTCATAAGTTTTAGCCGAGATACTTAATTTTTTTAAAAACTTCATAAGTTTTAGCCGAGATACTTAAATGTTTTAAAAACTTCATAAGTTTTAGCCGAGATACTTAATTGTTTTAAAAACTTCATAAGTTTTAGCCGAGATACTTAATTGTTTTAAAAACTTCATAAGTTTTAGCCGAGATACTTAATTGTTTTAAAAACTTCATAAGTTTTAGCCGAGATACTTAATTGTTTTAAAAACTTCATAAGTTTTAGCCGAGATACTTAATTGTTTTAAAAACTTCATAAGTTTTAGCCGAGATACTTAATTGTTTTAAAAACTTCATAAGTTTTAGCCGAGATACTTAATTGTTTTAAAAGTTTCATAAGTTTTAGCCGAGATACTTAATTGTTTTAAAAACTTCATAAGTTTTAGCCGAGATACTTAATTGTTTTAAAAACTTCATAAGTTTTAGCCGAGATACTTAATTGTTTTAAAAACTTCATAATTTTTAGCCAAGATACTTAATTGTTTTAAAAACTTCATAAGTTTTAGCCGAGATACTTAATTGTTTTAAAAACTTCATAAGTTTTAGCCGAGATACTTAATTGTTTTAAAAACTTCATAAGTTTTAGCCGAGATACTTAATTGTTTTAAAAACTTCATAAGTTTTAGCCGAGATACTTAATTGTTTTAAAAACTTCATAATTTTTAGCCGAGATACTTAATTGTTTTAAAAACTTCATACATTTTAGCCGAGATACTTAATTTTTAAAAAACTTCATAAGTTTTAGCCGAGATACTTAATTGTTTTAAAAACTTCATAAGTTTTAGCCGAGATACTTAATTGTTTTAAAAACTTCATAAGTTTTAGCCGAGATACTTAATTGTTTTAAAAACTTCATAAGTTTTAGCCGAGATACTTAATTGTTTTAAAAACTTCATAAGTTTTAGCCGAGATACTTAATTGTTTTAAAAACTTCATAAGTTTTAGCCGAGATACTTAATTGTTTTAAAAACTTCATAAGTTTTAGCCGAGATACTTAATTGTTTTAAAAACATCATAAGTTTTAGCCGAGATACTTAATTGTTTTAAAAACTTCATAAGTTTTAGCCGAGATACTTAATTGTTTTAAAAACTTCATAAGTTTTAGCCGAGATACTTAATTGTTTTAAAAACTTCATAAGTTTTAGCCGAGATACTTAATTGTTTTAAGAACTTCATAAGTTTTAGCCGAGATACTTAATTGTTTTAAAAACTTCATAAGTTTTAGCCGAGATACTTAATTGTTTTAAAAACTTCATAAGTTTTAGCCGAGATACTTAATTGTTTTAAAAACTTCATAAGTTTTAGCCGAGATACTTAATTGTTTTAAAAACTTCATAAGTTTTAGCCGAGATACTTAATTGTTTTAAAAACTTCATAAGTTTTAGCCGAGATACTTAATTGTTTTAAAAACTTCATAATTTTTAGCCGAGATACTTAATTGTTTTAAAAACTTCATACATTTTAGCCGAGATACTTAATTTTTAAAAAACTTCATAAGTTTTAGCCGAGATACTTAATTGTTTTAAAAACTTCATAAGTTTTAGCCGAGATACTTAATTGTTTTAAAAACTTCATAAGTTTTAGCCGAGATACTTAATTGTTTTAAAAACTTCATAAGTTTTAGCCGAGATACTTAATTGTTTTAAAAACTTCATAAGTTTTAGCCGAGATACTTAATTGTTTTAAAAACTTCATAAGTTTTAGCCGAGATACTTAATTGTTTTAAAAACTTCATAAGTTTTAGCCGAGATACTTAATTGTTTTAAAAACATCATAAGTTTTAGCCGAGATACTTAATTGTTTTAAAAACTTCATAAGTTTTAGCCGAGATACTTAATTGTTTTAAAAACTTCATAAGTTTTAGCCGAGATACTTAATTGTTTTAAAAACTTCATAAGTTTTAGCCGAGATACTTAATTGTTTTAAGAACTTCATAAGTTTTAGCCGAGATACTTAATTGTTTTAAAAACTTCATAAGTTTTAGCCGAGATACTTAATTGTTTTAAAAACTTCATAAGTTTTAGCCGAGATACTTAATTGTTTTAAAAACTTCATAAGTTTTAGCCGAGATACTTAATTGTTTTAAAAACTTCATAAGTTTTAGCCGAGATACTTAATTGTTTTAAAAACTTCATAAGTTTTAGCCGAGATACTTAATTGTTTTAAAAACTTCATAAGTTTTAGCCGAGATACTTAATTGTTTTAAAAACTTCATAAGTTTTAGCCGAGATACTTAATTGTTTTGAAAACTTCATAAGTTTTAGCCGAGATGCTTAATTGTTTTAAAAACTTCATAAGTTTTAGCCGAGATACTTAATTATTTTAAAAACTTCATAAGTTTTAGCCGAGATACTTAATTGTTTTAAAAATTTCATAGGTTTTAGCCGAGATACTTAATTGTTTTAAAAACTTCATAAGTTTTAGCCGATATACTTAATTGTTTTAAAAATTTCATAAGTTTTAGCCGAGATACTTAATTGTTTTAAAAACTTCATAAGTTTTAGCCGAGATACTTAATTGTTTTAAAAACTTCATAAGTTTTAGCCGAGATACTTAATTGTTTTAAAAACTTCATAAGTTTTAGCCGAGATACTTAATTGTTTTAAAAACTTCATAAGTTTTAGCCGAGATACTTAATTGTTTTAAAAACTTCATAAGTTTTAGCCGAGATACTTAATTGTTTTAAAAACTTCATAAGTTTTAGCCGAGATACTTAATTGTTTTAAAAACTTCATAAGTTTTAGCCGAGATGCTTAATTGTTTTAAAAACTTCATAAGTTTTAGCCGAGATACTTAATTATTTTAAAAACTTCATAAGTTTTAGCCGAGATACTTAATTGTTTTAAAAACTTCATAGGTTTTAGCCGAGATACTTAATTGTTTTAAAAACTTCATAAGTTTTAGCCGATATACTTAATTGTTTTAAAAATTTCATAAGTTTTAGCCGAGATACTTAATTGTTTTAAAAACTTCATAAGTTTTAGCCGAGATACTTAATTGTTTTAAAAACTTCATAAGTTTTAGCCGAGATACTTAATTGTTTTAAAAACTTCATAAGTTTTAGCCGAGATACTTAATTGTTTTAAAAACTTCATAAATTTTAGCCGAGATACTTAATTGTTTTTTGAAAACTTCATCAGTCTTAAAAACCCTTTTTCCACGAGGGAAAGGACCAATATACGAGCTGTTCAGCTCATCACTGCGAACCGCTGATGTGCCCCTGCTTAAAAGCCTCTGTTGTGCCCCTGATTAATATTTAAACTTCATTCTGCATAAAGTGATTCAATTGATTCAATTATAATGTTAAGGTTGAGATTTTTCAAACAATCAAGTGTCTAGGCTAAAACTGTCAATCGAGAAACAACAACTTCTGAAGGCCACATCAAATGAGTTAATTGGACAAAGACTCAAATATTATTGTTAATAAAAAAGCTCTTTTATGATGCAAAATAAATGAGTCAAATAAGTTTCTAAAATGTTCAAAAACTTCTCAATATCTCTTTTTTTTCAGGCTAATTTTGACGAAGGATTTCGACCTGGATAAAGAAGACATGCGAGATATCAACTATGACGATGTGTTTGACACCCACCTCAAGCAGCAGGGGGGTCAGTTCGGAAGGGACAACCTGGAAGCGGTGTGTCTCACTAAATGTCTGGCTACTCCCTTCAGAGAGCCATCCAACTTCTTCTACTTCTTCGCCCTGAGTGACACCAACAAGTCGGGAGGTTGGTGGATATTTAAGGAAATCTCAAATAAAAAATTTTTTGTTCTCAATAACACAAACCGTTCTAATTCTATATTTTCTGAACTCGCAAGCAAGCTATTGATGGCTTCAGTGTTTTTTTTTTCATGTTTATGTTTAATGGAAAACTTGAAAGACAATTGCTGATACTTTTTTAAGAGGGGCAAAGTTATTGGTAGCCCCTTCCCTTTTTCTTAAGGAGTTTGAAATTTTTTAGAATCGGATCTTTTGCTCTTTTTAGTGGAGGATTCGTAAAATCGACTATTTGGGGCTGCTACCTAAAACAATCGATGGAATATCCGTTTATAACAAAAATTCTAACATCCCCTTGTCGGCTCTGTTTCCTTTCCCCCACATGCAAAATTTTCGAATTAAAATTTTTGGTTCACATTATTCGATTGTTATGAAAATTGGCATACGGACTAATTAGATCATGGCAAACATATTTGGGCTTGATAATTAACCTTGTAAAAACCACTCGTTACACCATAAAATTGATGCCCGTGTGTGGTGGTAGTGGGGGTCGGAGGGGGGGGGGGGAGGAAAAAGAGCCTTCGCGTCGGTCAGTAGAAATACCTTGACAATAATGAATGACGGACCTGTGTGATTGGAACTAAGAAAAAACAATTTTTAAATTGAATTTGATCGGTATAAGTACTTAATGTTCTTCAAGAATATTTCAAAACTGTGCTCAAAAATTGCAAAAAGGTTGGGTCTCAAAATATAGATCGATCGTCGCTGAAGAAAACTTTGTCGCTGACAAAAATGTCAACAACAATGTGCGCATTTGTTCATTTGCGTTGTTCTTCTATTTTCGAAACGTTCGTCGGGCAAAATTATCTTAAATGCAATTTTAGGTCTGGACACAGTTGAGTTCAAACGTATGCTACAGAACAAATTCAAATCAGCCGGAAAAGGCAAAGAGGTTAAGATCGATCACTTGATGGAGGAGTACTTCCCCTCCGACGAACAAGACAACGTGCTCTACAACTTCTTCAAGAAGATCAAGGGCAAGGATGAAGTGTCCATTGCAACTTACGTGCAGGCGTTTCCTCAAGATCTGTTGCAGGAGTGCACGTGCAGTGAATACATAGCCCAATGCGTGGCATCTCATTGAAACTATTTTAGACTTTTGGACTGTTTCCCATTAAAGTCCTCTCCCTTCTTCCCATAATATGATCAGAATCACAACGCTTTGAGCCTTCATTTTTTACTGGGGAGGGGGTTTAATAAGAACGAGCCGACTTGTGTTCCAGATCACAAAAAAAGCAGCCCTTCTTGGGACCCTTTGAAAATATACTTTTAAGCTAACCATGAAGTCTCAAACTTTTTTTAGTTATAAATAATATTTTTTTAAACAAAATTATTCGAAAAAACGTATAATTGTTTCAGAATACAAACGAAAGGCGTCCAATTTCTGAGATTTTGTTTTATACGTTTTTCTCAGTTATCTGGAACACCAGGCAAAATTCATTAGTTGTTTGAATGTATTTGTAATAAAATGAAAAAAAAAAATTGTGCTCATTAATGAATGCTTTCTCGGAACTACCAAGAGAGTCATTTACAAAACATTACTAGCAAAAACTTATTGATGACCGTTTAGTTTATTCGTTTATTAGTTGTTAGGATGAACGATAATCATTTATCAGGTTCTTATCTCATCTTGCTTCATTTCGTTAATTACATAATTCAAATAATTTGGTTTTAAAGGAGATGTCTTAGCCGATTGAAGTTGTTTTGAGCTAATCCGAGGTGTATGATTCGTCTTAAAATGAAGTCATTTTTTTAACTCTGTTAAATTTGTATAGTTCATGGGTTGTTTCTTTTGTTGATGAGTTCAGTTGATGAAGTTTCTACTAAACAACAAATAACAAAAATGACTGGTTAATTGTATGCTTTGATTGTTGGAAATTGCTGCCAGAAATCACAAAGCTTCATTGAGAAAAAAAATCCAGATTCGGCATATTAGTGATACCTAAAACCTCTTCCAATGAAAAACTAATTATTGTTTCCGATTAAATTGAAACCGTATATGAAGCGAAAAATATGTTTAATGACACTGAAGGTTGATTCAGCGAAATTGATACAGAAATGATGAGTCTAATAAAGATTTCGGTATAAACTAAATCATATCACAAATTTTTCAAAAATAAGGTTTTGCTAGCTATTCATCGGTGCAAAAATGAGGTCACTTTTATGTGATTTTTTTTTCGTTTTTTATATTAGCACCCAACTTATACCAAAAAATTGGCACCCAATTTGGTTCTCTTGAGTTAAAAAAATATGTGATTTTTAAAAACTAACGAAAAATTTTACAATATCAGGTAATTTCATCTTATGATGTCTCATTCAGTTTGCAAAGAATGATGATGGGAGGTTTGTGAAATAAATCAAATAAAAACAAAATACCTTGTAAATACTTCGCAAAATGATGGTTGTGTGACTAAAATCAGATATATATTTTGAGACAAGATTGAATTCAATTCAGCGGCGTGCGCTGGACTTTTCAACGGGTAGTTTTTCAAAAAAAAATTGATTTATTACATTTTGGACTGTGAAAAATAAATGGTGCTGTAAACAATGCATGAAAGTACAAATAATCGATCTTTGAAAGTTTTTAAAACAAAAAAATTATCAATTTATTAGATAGAGTACATATCTATCTTTTATTGAAGCAAAATTGTTTGATGACTGCATCAACGCCAAGGGTTTTTTCTGGTACAGAAAAAATACAGCGATTACAGCCGGTCTTCAGTCATGATTGATCTAATATATTCTTTGAGAAGCATATTTAACGAAAAAGGTCATCGAGTTGAGGGCAAGCAAAAGGACATGGGCATTTGAGACTTTCAGCAGGACTCGTTTGCTTCAACAAAAATACCAAAAATCTGAGTTTTGCCAAGCTGAAGGGCTTTTAAAACCCGGAAGATGGGTTCAAGATTTGAGCCGGGAAGAAATTTGAAGTAGAGACTGAGTTTTTCGTCGAAATCTAACGCATTAACCGAGTTCATAGCCAGGTGGGCTGGCAAAGTTTGTATAATAAGAACTACTTGCATCAGGTCTGCCATCAGTATTCTTTCAGGTCTGCCATCTTTCAGGAGAAATGCTAGCAAGTAGAACTCTCGACAAAACTAGTTCTGCTTTGAGCTTTTTTTTGTTAGTCGACACATCTGTAATTCCTCTGGTCTAGTTCTCCTTACTGGTCTAGGTTTTGGCTGCTCTAGTTCTGGGCTGGTTTATCTTGGCTGGTCCAGTTATTTCTTGTTTATGCTTAAGAAACCCGATTCAAAACCAACTCGCAACCTACAGAAATCTTACGTACTCAACTGCACACTAAAAGCATGAGTACTAAAAGCATAACTGGTTCCACCCATCCGGGGCGTAGGAATTTTTTCTAAATCGAACTTTTCGTTTGAAGGATGAATGGAGTGTAGTCAAGATTTTTTTGAGGAGATTCCTTGAGGAGAGTGACAGTTGCTTGTGTCAGTGAAATACTTTCTTGAATACAGTGCTTGTGTTGTCGAGAGAGATAGAGATTGAAGAGATTTGAAGAGAGCCAAAAAATCGTATCAAATTTGCAGTTTCGATGATGTATCGATTTCGTTAAGTAGAGCGAGACTACGTGCTTTCTCAGCTATTCCTTCGGTATATAGTCACGTTTCATCTAGATTATTGTCGAGTTTCATCTCCCTTTTGCTGCTCGTTTCCTTTGCTCTATGAAACTTTTACCGTATATATATCTGCACCTCTTAGTAACTGCAGTTTTATTTAAGATCTTTGTTAGTTACTTTCGAAAAAAGTCTTAATTTTTTTGATTATCTTTAATAGTTGCTCAAACTAGAGCTACACTTGACAAAAAAGTTTGGGTTGTGTCTTAAGCGTGATGTAGCGCGTTGGTTGAGGCCGGCTATAGAGCATGCTCGAGATGGTCTTTGGTGGTGAGTTGGAGTGTAATTTTGAGCTTCTCTTTGAATATAGTCTAAAATTTTTTGAACTTTTTTCATCCGTTTATATCATTTCTTTTTCTTTTGTCCTTTTGATTCTGTCCTTTTCTCAAAAACAGATATAAACGGATTTAAAAAGTTCAAAAATTTTAGACTATATTCAAGGAGAAGCTTGACAGTATACTCCAACTGGCCTAACTCACCACCAAAAGACATCTGAAGCATGCTCTATAGCCGGCCTCAACCACCGCGCTACATCACGCTTAAGACACAACCCAAACTTTTGCTTCAGCTTGTGTTGTAGTTGAGTTTACTAGGATTTCTGTGGTCTTAAAAAGACTTTGATTTGTGTTTCGAAAGATTGTTTCATCCAGTCTAACCCAGTTTAATCTGGTTTGGGTGTCGTAGGACTTTCCTTCCTGTACACGTTATTAGTGCCGTGGTATTAGCAAGCTGCGTTGGATGTTTAAGCTTTACTCTGATTCCTTCTTCCGACCGGGTTAAGAAAAAGTTTGAAATGGGTGGAGTATAGTTATAGTTGTTATCAGTTAGGTAGACAAACTACAAACTCCTTTATTCAGAAAATTTCTAATGGAAATTAATTCAAAATACTAAAAAGGAGGGCGTGAAATGTGGGCGAGTCAAATGACGAAATGAAGAGTTTACAAATGAAAGCACATATAAAAAGGTTAATTTTATCTTGGATTCTTAACTTGTTTTTCAATTAATTTTATTGTATAAGAAATTTAATGCAAACACATTAAAAATTTCTTGCCGAATCATAAACTTTATTCATAATTGAGAATTTATTTAGCATTATTTGTAGTAAAGTTTTACAAAAACTCAGTTTTTTTTGGTTTCCTTGTTTTCTGAAACTCTCGGTGTAATTTACAAGAAAACTCGTTAGATACACAGATAGAAAAGGATGAAAATAAAATTTTAAATAACAATGATGTCGAGTCGGGAGAAAAACCTAGTGGCAACTTAATTTCAATAGTGGGTGATTGCATGAGAAGTTTTGCTGATCACAATTTTTTAATACGTAAAAGTAGCCAAAAAAGCTGAAGTGCTCGGATAATCTCAACTTCTTCCGGGGTTGCTGTAATTTCATGATGAGTATTTCGGATGGTTAAAGAGTTGATGGTTAAAATTTATGCCAAAAATGTTTTCTAAAAATGGTATTTCACCAGTTTGGATGTATTCAGACGAGATGATAATTGGTTGAGAGTCTTCAATGGGGAAACTGTTTGTGGAGAGGGGGGCAAAAATATACATCTGCTGGACGGATTCGTAGTCACCGATGATGCCGTGAAGGTTAGTAGTTTCAATACAATAAGGAGTGTGTGAGAGGGAGCTTTGCAAATTGTGTATTTGTTTGAAAACATAGTAAGTGTGTGCGTGAGTTAGTTTCGCATTTAGCATAACATCATGCGAGCAGTTAAAGTCGCGTTTTTTTTTCGGAATGAGAAAATTCAAGCTGAGTTGAAAACTATTAAATTTAATGAAATAGGTGTCATTTGCTTTAGTATTTTTAAGTGAATGAGCAAGGATGTGGTCAAGTTTTTCATTGAGGCTGTGTAGGTTGAAAATGTAATCTTTTTCGAAAAAAATCTTGGTTGGTTGTGAGTTTATTGCTGGGTCCTTATTTAAGTCTTCCAAAAAGCGGATGACAGTGTGGTCATAGTGTGCAATAGGGGTTTGTCTAGATTTTCGTGCAATAAAACAATTAAGAACATGTGATAGTCCAACGTTATCGAAGTTTTTTTTATCTGTAGAGCGTTGGTTAGTTGATGTAGTGCGGTTATATAAATTTTTTTATCTTTCACTAGGGGAGGGCAGTATTATGAATTTGTTGATGTTGTTGAATAAAATCGTCTAGGCTAAGATCTAATTGATCAAGCGTCATGTGTTTTGGGGTGTCAGGAGTAGTGCTAGTGGGACTCGGTTCGGATTCAATGAAGCAGTCAGGATTGTCCTTGGCAGGGTTATTTAAAGAATTGTGTATGTCGAAAACTGTTTGGATAGAATCATCATAGGGCTTATGGGATGAGTGGTGTGAAAATGTTGAATAAATGGGGTTGAACACCGGCAAGGGAGAAAAAGTGAGGTCAGAGAAGAAATTGACAGAGTGCTTTCGTTGCAGATTAGAAGGATACGAGAGAGAGAAAGAGAGAGAGAGAGAGCGAGATAGTGGAGAGCGATGGAAAGGTCCAAACTGGCGGCTCATTAGGGGCTAAAACTAGTGTTGTTTCCAGAACCAAAATTAACCATGTGAGGTTGTTCTATTATTTGTTCACTGTTTCAACAAAAATTTGTGGCTGATAAACAATATGAGAAGTGATTTTTTTCTGTATTTC